TTTACAATTCAACTAGTATTTTATCTCATGTTTAAATACTTAAGATTGGAAGATTAGGCAACATATTTGCATCCAATATATTGTTTTACTTGTAGACCAATATCTTTATTAAATGATTTCAAAATCCTCCGTTTTAAACACTATAATGAATATTAAACACATTTAATCCATTCTGACCTGTCAAATATAGTGGTACTTACCACAAATATAGTGGTAAGAGAAAGCTATTTTCCCTACTCCAATTACAGGAAATAGTTAAATTAATGTGTGGGTATGTCTGCCCTACCACTCATTTATAACAGCAGAAAAATCTGTGGGCATTATTCTAAACACCAATTAAGTTTATATGGCTAAAGGACTAAAACAATATTCAGGCTATTGTGTCAAACAAAAGTCTAACTTTAGGGGTGGAATTCAAAAATACCAGCAATTGGTTCGCTGCCTGGTTGCTGGGTGGGTGTGTCCATGGTGGGTGGGGGGCCCAATGGAACTTCCTGTTTCTGGCTTCCGGTGGACCTCCAGAAGCCAAGGGAGGCCGTTTTTGCCCTCCCGGGGGTCCAGAGGCCTCCCCTGGGCCTCTGGGAGGGTGAAAACAGCCTCTCCCAGGCTCTGGAGGCCCTCCAGAAGCTGGAAACAGGCCTGTTTCCAGACTTCCAGAAGTTTTTCCCTCTCTCTGAGTCTCCACAAAAACCCTGCACTTACCTCCATTGAAAATGGGCCACATAGAGACTCCCGGGAGGGGAGGGGCCAGCCGGTAGGTTGAAATACCACTTTGGCAAACCAGCTGTAACTTTAACACCTGGTTCACCTGAACCAGTTTGAACTGGTAGAATCCTACCCCTGAAGTTATCCCTTTTTTATGACTGGCAGTAATGGGAGGCTTGAGTATAGTATACCAGATAACAGATAATCAGAGTTGGAAGGGACCTTGTAGGTCATCTAGTCCAACCCCCCACCCAAGTGGGAGACCCTACACCATTTCTGATAAATGGCAGTCCAATCTCTTCTTGAAGGTCTCAAGTGATGGCACTCCCACAACTTCCAAGGGCAAGCTGTTCCATTGGTTGATTGTTCTCACTGTCAGAAAGTTTCTCCTCATTTTGAAGTTAAATCTCTCCTTGTTCAGTTTCCATCCATTATTCCTTGTCTGGCCTACAAGCGCTTTAGAAATAGATTAACCTCTTCCTCTGTGGCAGCCCTGTACCAGACCTGGGCTGAAAAAAATCCAGGAGACTACTAGATAGCAGAAAATATCTATGATAGTCCAAATTTTTGCAGCCTAAATTTATATTTTAAAAAGATACTCTGCAAAACCAATGATGTAGTCTTTCTTCCCTGCTACCCTAATACTATTGTAATTTATGACCTACTCAATGTGTTCAGACCAAATACAGGTGAAACTCGAAAAATTAGAATATCGTGCAAAAGTTCATTTCAGTAATGCAACTTAAAAGGTGAAACTAATATACGAGATAGACTCATTACATGCAAAACAAGATAGTTCAAGCCGTGATGTGTCATAATTGAGATGATTATGGCTTACAACTCATGAAAACCCCAAATCCACAAATTCAGAAAATTAGAATATTACATACAACCAATAAAACAAGGATTGTACATAGAACAATATCAGACCTCTGAAAAGTATAAGCATGCATATGTACTCAGTACTTGGTTTGGGCCCTTTTTGCAGCAATTACTGCCTCAATGCGTCGTGGCATGGAAGCTATCAGCCTGTGGCACTGCTGAGGTGTTATGGAAGACCAGGATGCTTCAATAGCGGCCTTCAGCTCTTCTGTATTGTTCGCTCTCATGTCTCTCATCTTTCTCTTGGCAATGCCCCATCGATTCTCTATGGGGTTTAGGTCAGGTTAGTTTGCTGGCCAAACAAGCACAGTAATCCCACGGTCATTGAACCAGGGTTTGGTGCTTTTGGTAGTGTGGGCAGGTGCCACATCCTGCTGGAAAATGAAGTCAGCATCCCCATAAAGCTCGTCTGCAGAAGGAAGCATGAAGTGTTCCAAAATCTCCTGGTAGATGGCTGCATTGACCCTGGACTTAATGAAGCACAGTGGACCAACACCAGCAGATGACATGGCTCTCCAAATCAACAGACTGTGGAAACTTCACACTGGACTTCAAGTGTCTTGCAATGTGTGCCTCTCCATTCTTCCTCCTGACACTGGGTCCTTGGTTTCCAAATGAGATGCAAAAGTTGCTCTCATCAGAAAAGAGGACTTTGGACCACTGAGCAACAGACCAGTTCTTTTTTGCTTTAGCCCAGGTAAGAGGCTTCTGATGTTGTTTGTTGTTCAGGAGCAGCTTGACAAGAGCAATACAACATTTGAAGCCCATGTCCAGGATCCGTCTGTGTGTGGTGGCTCTTGATGCACTGACTCCAGCCTCACTCCACTCCTTGTGAAAGTCCCCAACACTTTTGAATGGGCTTTGCCTGACAATCCTCTCCAGGCTGCGGTCATCCCTGCTGCTTGTGCACCTTTTTCTTCCACACTTTTCCCTTCCACATAATTTTCTATTAATGTGCTTTGATACAGCACTCTGGGAACATCCAACTTCTTTTGCAATTACCTTTTGAGGCTTTCCCTCCTTATGGAGGGTGTCAATGATGATTTTCTGCACAACTGTCAGGTCAGCAGTCTTTCCCATGATTGTGCTTCCTACTGAACCAGACTGAGAGACCATTTAAAGGCTAAGGAACCCTTTGCAGGTGTTATGGCTTAATTAGCTGATTAGAGTGGGACACTTTGAGCCTAGAATATTGAACCTTTTCACAATATTCTAATTTTCTGAGATTGTGGATTTGGGGTTTTCATGAGCTGTAAGCCATAATCATCTCAATTATGACACATCACTGCTTGAACTATCTTGCTTTGCATGTAATGAGACAATCTCATATATTAGTTTCACCTTTTAAGTTGCATTCCTGAAATAAATGAACTTTTGCACGATATTCTAATTTTTCGAGTTTCAACTATATGAAACAGGAACAGAAAATTTCCCTTTAACCTTATCCATGGTTCTTCAGATTTTTAGTTTCACCATAACAGTGTTATCTAAAAATAAGGAAGTGACAGCCCATACATAGGATAAAGGTGGCTTAGAAAACTATCAAAGATGGCTGTTAACCAAGATACATTTCTTTAAAAAATGATTAACACCAGATCTCAAAGCAAATCATTTGCTCATCTATGCCCACTGTGGCAAACGTTGTGCCTGATAAGTTTGTCCTGATCCAGCAGGATCCTTTCTGTGAGTTTATTATACATTTTGTGTGGTTTATTGTAGGATCTGTAATTTAAGTCTTCTGATTTTTTAGCTGATAAGTTCCATTAGAGATGCCAGCATGCACTGATGTGATTTTGGACAGGAAACTGTTTTTCAGCATTAGCAGCTGTATATTTGTTTTCTTCTATGTGAAAACTGGATTGGTAAAGGCACTGTCATCCTTATATTTACTGAACTAGATTAATTACTGTTTCAAGAACTTACTAAAATGCATTTTGGCTAATAAGTATTGTTCTAAACATTCTTTAACATATTTGGAATTGTTGTTTTTTTTCACTACATAAACTGGTGGTCATTTTGGAACATTCATTTAATTTAAGCAGCCATCTCATCCTACTGAATTGCCCAACATGTCTTCAAATTTATATTTGATATTGCTAGACATGTCCTATTGCTGTTAAAAAGTTACACAAGTAGACTTCGATTGAGGCCAAAATTTATGTTACGTGAGACATCTGTAAGTGAATTTTGCCCCATTTTACTACCTTTCTTGCCACAGTTGTTAAGTGAATCACTGCAGTTATGAAGCCAGTGACATGAGTGTTAAGTGAATCTGACTTCTGCACTGACTTTGCTTGTCAGAAGGTCACCAATGGTGATTACCTAACCCCAGGACATTGCAACTGTCATAAATATTCCAAGCATCTGAATTTTGATCACATGACCATGGGGATACCGCAACAGTCGTAAGTATGAAAAACGGTCGCAAATCACTTTTTTCAGTGCCGTTATAGCTTTGGTCACTAAACAAATCATTGTAAGTCAAGGCCTACCTGTATACTTATGTTGCTACATATCAGTGGATTAGGAATGCCCAAACAACAGCAAAAGCCTAAACTTCATTTCTGTCAATTATCCAGAACAGGCCTTTTCAGAAACTTGCACTAAAATATAGGAATTAATCCAATCAGATTTCTTGAAAGAACAAACGCAAAAGGGATATTCTCAAATCCCTTAAAAGCACTTTTTTAAAAAATTGTTTCCTTTAGGTTCTTTTCTACATTAAGTGCTACATGTAACAAAGGGTGTTTCTAGGTAAATCCGTATAAGGCTGCAGCTATACCCTTTTTACAGCGTAATCCTGTCCACGATTACTTACGAAGAAATCTGTTTTAAATGCACCCGCTTTTAAACAGATCCTACGATATTGTTAGAAGCCAAAAGTGTAATGATCTTAGCATAGGTTTTCCGGTTTGTTTTTGATCAAAAATAAATGCAGTTTGTAACAGACCGAAATCCACATCACACGTATAGAAGAAGTAAAACTAAACCCTCCCGGCATTCAGGTGGGAGTAACCACCAAACTACATCGCGCATGCGGGTCACGTCAGGTCGGTTTAACTTCCTTCTTAGTGCATGCTGGGAAATATGGTTCCCGGCCAAATGGGTTTTCGGGGCGGAGGCAACCGTCTTGATTGCTTTCTCGGTGGCGCCCTTGCGTTCCCTATTTAGAAGCTCGTGTTGCAATTCCAGGGGAGACAAAAATCCTCCGCCTCTTCTCCTGATTTGCTGCTTTAGGTAACCGTGAGCTCAGCCTGAAAAATAAATGGCGCCTTACGAGCAACGGGACTGAGTCAGACGGGACAGTCGGGGCGCCCCGCCCTGTGACAGGGTGGAGTCAGCCGCGGCGAAAGGAAATCAAAGAAAACAGACTCGAGCCGTAGAATCTTCTTCTATTTCCTGACTCTCCCCCCCCCCCCCAGTCGGGAGTCGTCGCGATGGGTACCACGCTGGACGTCAAGATCAAGCGAGCTAACAAGGTGTATCATTGCGGGGTGAGCATCGTCTGCAGGGGCTGCTGCACAAACCTGACGGTGTGGCGTCTCTGGGATGTTAGGGCGGCTTTTATTGGGGCGCTGCAATCCGGTTGCGATCTTCCTCGGGATTAACTCGTCTCCTTTCCGAAGACTTCGGCGCCTGAGAGCTTAAAAGTGGCTTTTCAGCTCTCGGTTTGTTTGGGTTTCTTTTTTTCCTTTTTTTAAATTTTTTTGGGGGAAGTAGCCTCCTTAGGATCGCAGGTTTCTGGAGCCTCTGGGATCTGGGCCGTCCAGCCTCTGGAGCAGCAGATGAGATGGTCGGATGGTTCTGGAATCTTCCTGGCAGAGGGAGAGGAATTCAAGATGCCCGCCCTGAGCAAAACGGACACGTTCACGAGGGGGAAAAAGCACGAAAGAAGCCTTCCTGACATCGTGTGTGCAGGGGTTTTTCCCCCTGGACATTCAGTCCCGTATGTACCCCAGCTGTATTCTAAAGGAGACTTTATACGACACCGCTTTGCCACCTGAATATCTGTTTTGTAAGAATTAGGTTATTCACTTAAAAAAACACAAACTAATATTCTGGTATAGTTACTAAGTTGAGGATATCCTTACATTTTACAGGCTCTCTTGTTTCCCCCTACAGAGTCAGTATTTGAATGTATCAAATGCAGCAATGGCTTTGGAAGACAGGAGAACAATTCCTGTGTTTGGGGCCGTGGGGACATGTACTTAGAGGAGTATTGAAAGCTTTGTTCCTGGTAATATAGATGGTTCAAAATTTTAGAAGAGCAGAGTTGAAGCCCCTTGTGTAAATTAGCGTTTCTTAACCTTGGAAACTTGAAACTATGTGGACTTCACCCACCCCCAGTGGATTCCCCAGTGGATTCACAGGATTCCCCAGTGAACAAGTCCACCCATCTTAAAGTTGCCAAGCTTAAGAAACACTGGCATTGAGTCTTGGTAGAAAGTAGCTATGTTTTTCTCCGTGCCAAGATGGAGTTGTGAAGTTTCAGACTCCTCTCACCCCTGCAAAATAAGAAAAAGACTTGGGTGGGGGTGGGAGTTTGCTAATTAATTGGGGGAAACTGAAAAACTTTGGGTTTTTTTTTAAAAAAAATGCATAAAAAGAAGGGCTCCCTTATTCCTGCTCAAATATTTTCTATTGACTTATAGCAAAAAGACATTTTACCTAGTCCTAGTGCATGAAGCGCTATTTTCCCTGTATAAAGGGCAAAGCAGGATGGTACAATTCTGCAGTGCAAGAGGAAGACGTTTTCCTGTCCTCAGCAGATCTTGGGCTTTCTACCATAGGAAGGAGGATTCAGTGCCTGTTTTGTTTGGGATGTTCCTGTTGCTGATCAGGAAAACTGTTGGTGAAACTCCTTTTGACAAGGCTGAAAGAAAATAACCGATTATTAACATGATGATTGTTTATTATATCTTGAACTTAATTTTTTCCCAGCTTAACCAAATGATAAAATTGATACTTGGGTTTCTCAGAATCTTGAAGTTTGTAATTCAATTTATTAGAAAAAAATAAACATTTTAAATGAAAAGAGAAAAAATATAGTTTGAATAAATTATACTTTTATATTTAATAAATGCATTAAGCATGATAATTGTGTGAGCAAATCAAATGCATATTGCATTTGTGTTCTTAAACTAATGTAACAAAATTACTAAATGTAGTATAAAAATGAATACTGCATGTGGTTTTGAAAATATATTCCCTCCCCCATAAAACCAATAAAGAAAATTCTTCCAAGGATACGTCTTTAGTGCCTCTACCTTTTTGAATCCCAGACTTTGTGGGGTAGCAAAAGATCCTAAATTTCAATTCAAACATTTCCTTAATAATTATTTGCAATACTATATTAATTTTTATATAAATTTATATTTTTATATATGAATGATATAGGAGCAGAACTTCAGAGTAAATTATTTACTTGGATTTTTTATAGTTCTTTTACATTGAAATGCTATGCATGGTTTGTTAATAAATGGATTATGGATTTGATCCAGTATATGAATATGAACTGCACCCTTAATTCTCAGAACTATTTATTTCATTGCATTGTACATTCTAAAGTTTGCTGAAAATGTTAAATTATTTGTGTTAAGCACAAATATAATCTCTTATTAATTATTTTTTTATTTTCAGGCACACACTCCAGGATGTATTTTATAATCTATGTGATATTTTTCAAAAACTGTTTTTGTTCTTGGTCAATAGTAAGGCATTGCCTTCACACAAATGTACACACATGTTCATGTCTGTGATCAATACACTGTTAATGTCACGGACATTCTTTTAATATTTATTCATATGTACAATGAACAACCAAGTGGACATCTTTGTCTTGTTCAAAGTTGAATGATTCACTAAGCATTCAGTTTATTCCCTTACATGCTTTCTTTCCATCACACATCAATCAGTTTTACCTTGGTCAGGATTCATGCAAATCATTCTGTCATCAAGAATATTCATGTTATTGTATACCTTACTTTTCTGATCAAGAATTGTACAGTCAATTTTCTCAAATTCATATAGATCTCATCACCACAGTACCTGTCAGTATAAAACCACATTGCATTTCTTAAATGATGTCCCCTTATACCTTTTCAATCAAAATATTGCCAAACACCTTTACATGCCTGCTTAAACTAATTCTCCAGTAATTTTGCCATTCATGCCTTTTACCTTTTTTAAAATAGGGAAATAAGAATGACATTCTTCCAAACATTAAGCTCAAATGCATTTTTTCACTTAAATGTTCAACGTTGCACAACCATTTCATAAGCAAACCACTCTGTACTTGATCATTTTACACTTATACCATCTCTGCCTGCAGTTTACCATTTTCACAATACCTATTACTTCTTTTTCAATATGTATTTTTAGATACTTATAGCATTCATTTCAACTCCTTTGATTCATTATTGTTTCCATACAAATTTTTAAATATATTTTCATATTAATTATATTAATGCTACAGGTTTCTTGTTTAATTTTTGTTTTCGTTCTCTTCCAAAACAATTGTTATTGTTTCATTGTGAAAAATTATTCTATACTTTATCCGCTTGTTTAAATCATAACCATTCCTTACTGTCTTTTATTCCATTGTTTGGATCTTCCTTTTTCTTATTATACATATTATAAACTGTCCTGTGCCATCTTCATGACGTATGAGCATTTATGAGCATTGATTTTGTCTCATTAACAGCCTTTGCTCTTCTTTACTCCATCAAGCATCCTCTTTCATACTTTCCATTGTTGTATCTCTAAATTCTTTGGTGGCATTTTGTAGCAACATTATTTTTCATTCTATTAAAAGTGACTTCCATATTCTCTTTTTTGGCCATTCATTCTGATTCTTCATTCTGTCTTCCAAAATAAATGCTCCCAGACAATGATCTCTCCTACATTTAGAACTTTTATAAACGTTGTAGCCTTCATTAAGTTTCTACATTTTTCATCATAAGGAATCAAAACAGCAATTGATTAATATAGGTAGTCTCAATTTACGACCACAATTGAGCTCAAAATTTATGTTGTGAGATATTAACTAAGTTTTGCCTGATTTTATGGCCTTTCTTGCCATAGTTGTTAAGTGAATCACTGCAGTTGATAAATTAATAACCCATTAAGTGAATCTGGCTTCCCCATTGGTTTTGCTTGTCAGAAGGTTAGAAAAGGGGAGCACGTGATAAATATGAACCAGTTGCCACATGATCATGGGGATGCAGCAAAGGTCATAACTGAAAAACGGTCATAAGTCACTTTTCAGTGCCACTGTAACTTTGAATGGTCAGTAAATGAATTGTAAGTCAAGGACTATCTCTACGTCACCTTTATTATTTGTATATAAATAAATAAAAACCATGAACATACTTAATATTCCTTCCTCCTCCCATTTCACCCTCAATAACCCTGGGAGGTAGGTTGCAGAAAGTGACTGGCCCAAAGTCACCCAACTCGCTTTCATGCCTCAGGCAGGACTGGAATTCATTATCGCCTGGGTTCTAACCTGGTATCTTAACTACAAGACCAAACTACTAATTTAAAGACTTTTAAGTAAATGCCAATAATACCATTCTTATTCATTCTGTGGATTCCACATGACCCAATCCATTTTATCAGCATACATTAAATTATAATAAGCAATTATCACCATCTTTTCAGTTCCTATTTTAATACATATCCATAGCAACATAATCAGCACCAATTCATACTGTCTTATATAATTGTATTCCTTTCATTCATAATTAAATCTGTACTTTAAGTCACATGCATGACATCTAGACAAAACCATCTTCGTTTACATATATTCTTGTGCTGCATAAGAATGATGTGACTAAGCTATTCCATTTTCAGCCAATATGCCTCAACATTGTTATTGTGGAGAAAAATAGAGTGTACATTATGTATACCACCTTGAGTTTCTGAATAAAAAGGTGAAATATTATCCTCATTAATGAAGTCCCAACATACATACATACGTTTTTTCATTTTATTTATTTGTGATCTTTACCTTTATGTTCTTACATTCCAAGTTGCAATCTTACATATATTATTGTTGTCAACAAATGGTCCATTAATATTAATCCGCCATGTCATGCAAGAGGTTTCTGCATAAAAGTATTCTGATACAATGTTGTTAGTTGCAAAGTCATGTCTGACCTATCGCAACCCCATGAACAATGTTCCTTCAGGCCTTCCTGTCCTCTACCATCTCCCGGAGCCCATTTAATCTCATGCTGATTGCTTTAGTGACTCCATCCAGCCACCTCATTCTCATTAGGTGGCCAAAGTATTTGAGTTTCATCTTCAGGATCTGCCCTTCTAAAGAGCAGTCAGGGTTGATCTTCTCTAGAACTGACCGGTTTGATCGCCTTGCAATCCAAGGGACTCACAGGAGTCTTCTCCAGCACCATAGTTCAAAGGCCTCAATTCTTTGGCACTCAGCCTTTTTTATGGTCCAACTTTCACAGCCATACATTGCAACTGGGAAAACCATAGCCTTGATTATACACACTTTTGTTGGCAGGGTGATGTCTCTGCTTTTGAGTATGCTAAAGTAGATTTGCCATAGTTTTCCTTCCTAGGAGCAAGTGTCTTAATTTCTTGGCTGTAGTCCCCATCTGCGTTGATCTTGGAGCCCAGGAAAATAAAATCTGTCACTACCTCCATTTCTTCACCATCTATTTGCCAGGAATTGAGAAGGCCGGATGCCATGATGTTAGTTTTCTTAATGTTGAGTTTCAAGCCAACTTTTGCACTCCTTCTTCACCCGTGTCAAGAGGCTCTTTAGTTCCTCTTTACTTTCTGCTATTAGAGTGGTATCATCTGCATATCTGAGGTTGTTGATATTTCTCCCGGCAATCTTAATTCCAATTTGTGATTCATCTAGCCCTGCCTTTCTCATGATGTGCTCTGCATATAAGTTAAATAGGCAGGGTGACAGTATACAGCCTTGCCGGACTCCTTTCTCAATTTTGAACCATTAGTGGTTCCATGTCCTGTTCTCACTGGTGCTTCTTGACCCGCATGTAGGTTTCTCAAGATTCAAATAATATGGTCTGGTACTCCCATCTCTTTAAGAACTTGCCACAATTTGTTGTGATCCACACAATCAAAGGCTTTAGCATAGTCAATGAAGCAAAAGTTGATGTTTTTCTGGAACTTCCTAGCTTTCTCCATGATCCAGCGTATGTTGGCAATTTGATCTCTAGTTTCTCTGCCTCTTCGAAATCCTGCCTGTACTTCTGGTAGTTCTCGGTCCACATACTGCTGGAGCCTAGCTTGTAGGATTTGGAGCATAACTTTGCTAGCATGTGAAATGAGTGCAATGGTGTGATAGTTTGAACATTCTTTGGCATTGCCTTTCTTTGGAATTGGAATGTAAACTGACCTTTTCCAATCCTGTGGCCACTGTTGAGTTTTCCAAATTTGCTGGCAAATTGAGTGTAGCACTTTTACTGCATCGTCTTTTAAGATTTTGAATAGCTCAACTGGAATACTGTCACCTCCACTAGCTTTGTTATTGCTCAGTCTTCCTAAGGCCCATTTGACTTCACATTCCAGGATGTCTGGTTTGAGGTCAGTGACCACCCCATCGTGGTTATCAGGGAAGTTAAGCTCATTCTTGTGTAGCTCTTTTGTGTAATGTTGCCACTTCTTCTTAATCTCTTCTGCCTCTGTTAGGTCCCTGCCATTTTAGTCCTTTATCATGCCCATCTTTGCATGGAACTTTCCTTTTCTATCTCCAATTTTCTTGAAGAGATCTCTGGTCCTCCCTATTCTATTGTTTTCTTCTATTTCTTTGCACTGTTCATTTAAGAAGGCATTCTTATTTCTTCTAGCTATTCTGTGGAATTCTGCATTCAATTGGGTGTATCTTTCTCTTTCGCTTCCCTTTCTTCCTCAGCTATTTGTAAAGCATCATCAAACAACCATTTTACTTTCTTACATTTCTTTTTCTTTGGGATGGTTTTAGTTGCTACCTCTTGTACAATGTTGCAAATCTCTGTCCATAGTTCTTCAAGCACTCTGTCTATCAGATCTAATTCTTTAAATCTATTTGTCACCTCTACTGTATATTCATCAGGGATATGATTTAGTTCATGCCTGAGAGGCCTAGTGCTTTTCCCTAATTTCTTCAATTTAAGCCTAAATTTGCAACGGGAAACTCATGATCTGAGCCACAGTCAGCTCCTGATCTTGTTTTTATTGACTTTATAGAGCTTATTCATCTTTGGTTGCAGAGCACATAGTCAGTCTGATTTCTGTGTTGACCATCTGGTAATGTCCATGTGTAGAGTCATCTCTTGGGTTGTTGGGAAAGAGTGTTTGCTGTAACCATCGTATTCTCTGTGACCTGCTTCATTTTGTACTCCAAGGCCAAAATTGCCTGTTATTCTGGTTATCCTTTGGCTTCCTACTTTAGCATTCCAATCCCCCATGATGATAAGGACATCATTTTTTTGGGGGGGGGTGTTAATTCTAGAAGATGTTGTAGGGCTTCATATAACCCATCAACACCACTGATTGGGGCACAGACTTGGACTAGTGTGATATTGAATGGTTTGCCTTGGATTCGAACTGAGATCATTCTGTTATTTTGGGGATTGTATCCCAGTATTGCTTTTCCTTCTCTTTTATTGACTATAAAGGCTACTCCACTTCTCCTGGGAGATTCTTGCCCGCAATAATATACCTGATGGTCATCTGAATTAAATTCACCCGTTCCTGTCCATTTTAGTCCGCTGATTCCTAAGATGTCGATGTTCAGTCTTGTCATCTCTTGTTTGACCACATCCAGCTTGCCTTGATTCATGGGTCTTACATTCCAGGTTCCTATGGAGTATATAGATCTTTACAGCATTGGACTTTCCTTTCACCACCAGATACATCCACAGCTGAGTGGCCTTTCAGCTTTCTGGCGCTACTAGTACTCAGCCCTCTGCTCTTCCCCAGTAGCATATTGGACACCTTCCAATCTGAGGGGCTCATCTTCCAGCGTCATATCTTTCTGCCTTTTGGTACTGTCCATGGGGTTTCCATGGCAAAGATACTGGAGTGGGTTGCCATTTCCTTCTCCAGTGGAACATGTCTTGTCAGAGCTCTTTGCTATGACTTGTACATCTTGGGTGACCCTGCACAGTATAGCTCATATTCATTGAGCTACGCAAGCCCCTTCACCATGACAAAGCAGTGATCAATGAAGGGGTCTGATACAATAAAGGAAGAGAAAACTACATGATCAGATTTAGATAAAAGTCATGCCACAGGCAACATTCTCTGCTAATTGTAAAAATACAATATTGGTGAGTTTTAGCGCATTTTGGCCACTATTCTATGCAAATTAAGATATCTAAACTGAAGACTACCTTTGCAAGCCAACTTAATATTACCTACCGTATTTCCCCATGTATAAGCACCCCCTTTGTATAAGCCACCCCCCCAATTTTTGGACTGTGAAGTTTTGAAAAAAATATTTTATTAGAGAAACAAGTTATGAAGAAAGAAAATTTACAAAGAAACAAAATTCGACGTCTAGATCTACAACTTCGGTCATGACGCCGAAAGCGGTGCGGGCGACGCTAGCAATCTACGCATCGGAACGAGAGTAGGAACGAAGCATTCAGGCCGATGCCTAGCGTATGCATTTCTATCGCGTACTCGCACTCGTAATCGTATCATCACGTACAATTTTTACAAAAAAGTATAGCATACTGCTGGAAAACCAGTTTATTCCTACTTTATTATTTTATGCATTTTTCACGTATAAAAAGTGTACCTGCTTTGTATTATGCCACCCCCCTACTTTTTGGGCTTGAAAATTTTGGAAAAAAGGGGTGGCTTATACATGGGGAAATACGGTACTTCCAACTAATCAGAAAGTTCACGCAATATATTGACATATTAAGTGTACTGGTATTTCCCTGGATAATTATTGTATTAATATACTTAAATTGTCATAATATATAACATGTAAGAAGTAGTGTCAAAACTGATCTATATGATGTTCTCAATTTTTCCCCAATTAGGAAGTTCTCACTGGCGTGGTGGTCATAACAAGTAAAGATTCAATCCAGCATCAGGGAATCTCATTAACAATGGAAGGATCTGTAAATCTGCAGCTCAGTGCTAAAAGTGTTGGTGTGTTTGAAGCATTCTGCAATTCTGTTAAGGTACAAACAATAAAAATCATGGATTATGGAGCACTTTTCTACCAGAGTTTTTTATATGAGAAAACTATAAATATAGGGAGGCTATACTTATTAGATCAGTCCAGTCCAGTCTTGGTGACTGGTGACAAGTGTTCCAGAGGGAGTTGGAGAGTTCCTTTGGGTCTACTGCAAGGTCCATGAAGGCTTTTAGTTGCCATTTAGAACAAGAGGCCAGCTGTAGCCTTAGATCGGATTACACCATGCAATCTCTTGTTTCCAATGGTTCTCATCTCTCCCTGTGGTTTGCGGAGATGCCAAGGGAGATGAAATGGGAGAGGAGACATCTAGAGTACTTCTGGATGTCAAACTCAATCAAGCACAGATGAGAGTTACTATTAAGATCTATTTTGTGGTGGTAAGGGTAATGAAATCACAATACTTCTGCTGTTATTGTGCCCATAGCCTTTTTCTGGATAACCTGTGCACGCTCAAATTTGTCCCCAATAAGACTCCAGCTTTGGTGCAACTCCAGTCCAGATGCCTGGAACACAGTCTTGTTATCTGGGAACAGTTTGAGTCTGTGGGGCCCCTCCTGGTTAATCATGGCTGCCTGGGATGATGTGTGTGTAGGTCTTGCAGTGTTGAATTCATCCTTGAATGAGAATTTGTTCCTTCATCTCTTACAGAAGTGTTGGTTCATTCCCCGCCTTCCTCAAAAGACCATTATTGGATCCCACTATACTGCACAACTTCTGACCAGTGTTCAACCACCCTTTTTAGGAAAGATTGTAGAGAAGGTGGCCACACAGCAGTTTCCACTGATTATTTGGATCCCTTTCAGTCAGGATTCAGACTCACATAGATATTATATTGGTTGTGTTTTTAGATGATTTCTGGCAGGAGTAAGATGGGGATAGTACATAGTACTAGTACATTATGGCGGCTTTCAGTACCATTGACCATGATATTTTCCTGGATTGGCATTGGGGATTGGGAATGGATGACACAATATTGTGCTGGTTTACTTCATTCCTATGGAGTCAATAGCAGTCAATGTTAATTTTTAGTAAGAGATCCCACCCTCAGCCCCTACTGTGTGGGGCGCCACAGAGCTTTGTGCTCTTTCCTCTCCTGTTTAACATTTACATGAGATTGCTGGGAGAAATCAGCTGTCACTATAGGGTGAGATATGATTAGCATGCTGATGATACTCAACTGTATCTTTCTGCTTCTGACAAAATGAGTGATGCTTTTGATGTGCTGACCTGTTGCCTGGAGGCTGTAGGAGTTTGGCTGAGGAGCAACAGGCTTAAACTGAACCTTAGCAAGAAAGAATGAGTGGCTTCGAGTTTTAGAGCCTTCTGATTTAGGGACTTTACCAATTCTGCTACTGGATGAAAGCAGTTTGCACTGCTCCAAACTGACCTGGTCTGCAATCTGGGGTTCTCCTGCACTTGACTCCTGCTCAAGGAGGAGATGCAGTCATGGCCAGGAGAACCATTATGCAACTTTGTGTGGCAATTGTGCCTGGTGTTGGATTGTGAAGAGCTACTCACAATGATACCCTGGTAATCTCCCAGTGGACTATGTAACACACTATATAGGGCTGCCTTTGAACAGTATCTGGAAGCTGCAACTTGTGCAAAATATAGTAGCATGGTCAGTTATGAATGTTCATAGGACACTGTTATACCTCTGCTCCTTGAGTTATATTGTTGCTGGTTTGCTTCTGGATACAAGTCAAGGTGCTAGTTTTGACCTTGAAATCCCTCCATGATATGGGGTGAGGTTATCTAAGGAATCACATCCAGTGGTGGGCTGCTACCGGTTCGGACCAGTTCTAGCGAACCAGTAGTTCCGACCATCAGCTCGCCCCGCCCAGCCCTATCCTGTCCTATATTTCCTTCTTTCTGGCTCAGCTGATTTGTGCAGCACAGCTGATTTCCACACCTCAGCTGTTCTGCTTACCAGGGCTGCCCTAGAAGGTAAGCAGTTGAACTTCAAATTGCTGTATTTTGAACGCTGCGTGTTAGGCGAAGCACGCGCTCACAGAACCAGTTGTTAAACCATTTGCAGCCCATCACTGATCACATCTCCCCGATTGCTTCTACCCATCCCATCTCATCAGGTTCAGCAGAAGAGGCATGTTGCATGTCATTACTGCTGAGGCATTACATCTGATGGGACCCAGGAGATGAGTCTTTTCTGCTTTGGCAGCCACCCTCTAGTCTAGTAAAAGCCTTGAACATCATTCTCCCTGAAGTGAGGTTAGCCCCAACCTCTTGGAAAGCCTTTAAAACATTTTGTTGTTGTTGTTTTGGTTTGGGTTTTTTTAATCAGCTCTAGGCATCCCCTGGCAGCACCATATATGACATCTTAATTAACCCTTTCATAATCGTGTTTTTACTTGTGTTAATTATGTAACTGGTTTTAAATATATTTGTTTTTAATAGTTGGTTTTATTGTAGGCATCATGTTGCTTCATGTTATCTTAGGAGTTCTCAATTAATGAATTAGGTAGAAAGTGCATAGGGGAAGACAATGAGTTAAATGGTGCCTATACCAACAAACTTATCCTTGTTTCCCTGCTTTCTATTATTTGAGGTTCTGTACTATACTTTCATCACAAAAGATAATGTTCAATTCCTAGAACTAGTATTATGTGTTCCATTAGTAACTGTGTAAAGTAGCTGTTTAATGTCTTTTTATTTTATTTTCATGTGTCTTAAACATTTATTAGACTGATAAGATTTAAGTTGAAGAAGTAACTATTCAGAAGAGGGGGGAGCCTTTTTCATTTTATTTGATAGTCTTGGTCTGACTAGTCATAAATCTCAAAGTGGATGGGTGGACAGTAGCTAAATTTTAATTGGATCTTGACAGTTTTGAGCAATGAGCATGTCTTAATTTTTCAGTTAGATTATGCAGATTATTTCAGATGTAACAGGGCTTTTACTTTTTTTACTATTTTTGAAAGCCGTTCTAATATACAAATGAAAAAGATTATATGAATGCATGTGTGTGTTTTTTAAATGTATATGCTGCCTGACTGAACAGTGTGTGTATGTATGTATATATATGTGTGTACACACACATAACACATATATGCATATACCCACACACTATTTGGAAAGCTTCATCGATCCTGGAGGCCCTCTGCTATCTATTCTTATCTCTTCTGTGTGAAAGGGAGGCACTGATAAGCAGAGCAGGTGGAAACAGAAAACTTCTGTCTAGTCAATAGAATATATAAGAATATAGAATGTCTGTGCTGAGTTTAATGTAATGTGTAGACAGTATCTAGAATTGTTTGCAGTTGAGTGTACACTATACTTCCGTAACCTTAAAGAGTTGAACCTGAATGGACAGGAGTGCGGCTCCATTTCTTAAAATACATTTTAAAATGTGCATTTTCAGAAATTCATAAGCCTTTTGTTTGCAACAAAAAATAAAGGACAATTAACAATAAAGTCTTTCTAATTTTTTGTTTGATTTTGCAGCCTATCCAACTGATTAATAGTACAGTAGAAATGGTAAAATCTGGAAAACTGCCTAGTGGTAAAACAGAAATTCCTTTTGAGTTCCCACTGCAAGTAAAAGGAAGCAAAATTCTTTATGAAACTTACCATGGAGTTTTTGTCAATATCCAGGTGAGAACAGATGATAGTCTATGAAAACTTTTCTCCTTATGGTGATTGTACACAATTGCTTTAATTTTTTAAAGATCTAGCCAAGGAAATTCATGCCATTAAAAGAGTAAAAGAGTTGTCTGATGGCATGAATTTCTTCTTTGGTCTATTTGTTTCAAGTTTAAAGAATCTCAAAAGAGCTATGAAAAACTATATCTTCAAATATTTTCTTCATATTTCCATTATTTAAAATGAAGCAAACTACAGATCCTAGCAAATCAGAAAAATACAAAGAGGAGGTTCTTCATAAAAATGTACAAACTTCTTACACAGTCTGGATTTTTTAAAATGAGATTCAGCTTACCTAATATAAGCTCAGGTTTCTCAAGTTTCTCCCTGTAAACTACAGTATAGCATAACAGATGTTCTCTGGCATACAGTTTTAATTCAGAATTGATATGGCTCATTGTCTAATCTAATCTATTTTTATTGGTTAAATATATGGGAGTTTTAACTAACAAAACTCACTGGGATTTATGATGGAGGCTTTCTAATGATTGTACTGCAGAAATTTGTGTCTCAAAATATTTGCTTCCCTTCCTTTTGCAGATTATTCAAATCTATCAAAGATATTAATATACCTAGTTTTATGAAAAACACTAGGCTTACTCTTCTTCCTTGTAATGCTTTTTATTTCTAATCTTGAATAACATGGCTTTATTATTACTATGGTTTTAGGGAAATGATCATTGGATTAGGCCAGTAGCAAAATATGATTGAAATCCTGTATTTGCTTTGTGTTTTTAATTCTTGGCTGGATTTGATTTTCAGCGATGTGTCCAGAGAATTTTTGAACTGGAAGATTTTTAGAATATATCTTACTTTAAACTACAAACATTTTGAATTAATGCATTTCTAGGTAGGATTTCCATAGTAGATACAAATTATAGTACATATAAATAAAATACAAATTTACAAAATAATTAGTAATATTTTTTTATGTCATGAGCAGGATAACAACCTTTCTGTTTTGCATATTTGTATAGTATACTCTTCGATGCGATATGCGACGCTCTCTCCTGGCCAAGGATTTGACAAAATCTTGTGAATTTATAGTCCATTCACCAGTAAGTTTACTTTTAGGAATTAATTACTAGAGACTTGTGAATATATTCATTTAGTTGTAGTTGGACTGTATAGAAAAGTCCCAGAGGAGCATATACACTTAATGCAGTTAAGCAGCTCTGTAGCTTATACATGCAAATGCTTGAGTTCCTTGGTTCAGGTACAGATGCAACCTAGTCCATGTTTCCCTGCATTTTTCCAAATTTATGTGATGTTAAGTTTTCTAAGAATATTCAGGTTAATGTTTTGTGCCAAAGATAAATTAAACATATGGGTAATTTTGACAATTTTGATAAAAGGATACTGCATGCTTCCTGGGCTATTAAATGACATTACTTTAAAGATGAGAGCATGTCTACTCTCCCAGATTTTAAGGGGTGGACACAAATAATAGGAAAGCAATTAGTGAAACTTGGACAACAGAGGTATTTCATTAGTTTATAGAGCATACTTGTAACTGCTGCTACATTCTGCACAAGCTACAGCTTTTGAGTTGTCTTTAAATGCAGTCTCATATAGAGTAGATTGCAATAGTTCTTATACAAGGTAACTAAAGTGTGAATAACTGAGAAAGGACTCTGAATCTAAGGAGGTATATAGAATACCAGATGAAGCTGTTAAAGGCTTCCAGGCCACAGCTGTATCCTGCACACCAGCTCTGTTGGGGGGAGTGCACACACATTCAGAATTAAAGGTGAAAATCCACAGCACTAGAAGAACCAGGATACAGCCACGTGGTCTTGTCAATGGTAAATCAATCTGTTTATCCAGAGCCCAGGCACTGAGACAACTTTAATAGCAATGGCAGAGTTGAAGTACACAACTGGGTATTATCTGTATGCTGATAATACCTTGTTTGATAGATTACTTTATCTAGGTGCTTCATGTAGATGGTAAATAGAAAGGGTGAAAGCATTAAAACCTATGGCACTCCACAAGGCATGCCTCAGGCTCAAGCACTACCACCCCCTTCGACACCACTGGAAACCAGCTGCTGTGCTGCCCCCACTCACCCACACATCAGGGTTGGTGTAGAGAGCTTTACTCAGTCTGTTCTTCCAACAGTTCTATTTCAGTTAACCCCCAGCTACAAGCTTAGCACAGTAATTGGCTCGCAACCAATTAGATAACCAAAAGCAAAACAAACTTACAGCCAAACCTAAAACAGTCTTGGAAATAAAGGTTTTGCCTGGGTAGGTTCCAAAAAGAAACAGTCACAATCCCCTCTGAGGTCCGGGGCTTCCACTAAGGTTTGTCAACAAGTCGGTGGTCCAGTTTCAGAGCTTGCAAGGAGAAGTTACAGGAATTGTCCAAGCCAGGAATTCAGGGGGTCGTTTTCAGCAAAGCCAGCCACGAACAAGCTCCTGACTAACCTTCTAGACAATGGCCAGTTAGTCCACCGGACAGATAACTGGCTGCTCCAAACACAAACATAAACACTCTCTGCAACTGAACTAAATCCACGAGCTGCAGAGTTCTGGAAATACAAACAACCATCTGGCCACGACCTACACACATTGCTGGCAACGCCTCCCTTTGCCTGCTGTGCTAAATAGCCTCTCCTGATGCAGCCCATTAAGAGGGGCAGGGCCTTTTCTTCATCAATCTGGCAGATCTCTGCCTTTCTGCCCTGCGTACTGTAGCATCTATCAAGGCTGGTAGCTCCTCCCCCGCTTCCTCATTGGCCTGCGAGCTCTCCCCAGCTGAGTTATGTTCTGCCAGCAGTTCAGGGTCAGCACTACCGGAGGTGCCAGGAATACTCTCATACTCCCTCAAGGTCTCTGAGAAAGACATGAAGAAGCCATCACCCACAGGAGACATCATAGCTGCAAAGGAAAGGAGAGAACCACTGTACAATAATGCCTTCCATTCCTTTTTTTTTTTTTTTGAAAATTTTATTTGGGTTTTCGCAAAAAATACAATACAAATAAAATCCTCACAATGAAGATCTCTTCAGGATCGCATCAACTTCATTCAATCATGACATTCTTAATCTTCCCATCCACTCTTTTTTCATATAGTTGTTTCACAATTTGATGCTCATTCATTGTCAATATGATTAAGCTACATCAGTGTACTCCTTTTATATCAAATATATTTGATATCCAAGGTCATCCATGATCATTCAGCTTTCATTTTTAACAATCTCTTCTTGCTTCAGCATACTTTTTTTTTTAAAAAAATATCCCATTCTAACTTCAGTCAACTTACTTTTAGAGCAGAAATACAAGATATACATATCTATTTGCACTTTGTCCAATAAACATTTATTCCTTACAGCAGGCAACATAGTTACTACTTTCAGTATTTGCATGACTTAAAATTATATATAAATGTTCCTGTAAACATATATTTGAAGAAGAAGGTAAAGAAGTTCTACATAGGTCCAGCCGGTAGTCAATGTGCTTTGAAGGGAAGTAATGAACTAAGAGCAGAGAGATCCAGATTCTAAGCCATTCACAGCCATAGAAATTTAAAGAGTAATGTTGAACTGGTCACTCTCAGGCTAACGTAAATTACAAGGTGGTTGTGAAAGAAAGGGAAAAATCCATATTGTATTATACGTAGGAATAAGCATTTACCAAAATAAAACATTAAATGAATTTTATGCAGATCCAGGAAAGAGCCAAGATTGTATAGTGATTAAGGTCCTGGATTAGAAGCAGGAGTTGTCCACACTCAGCCAGAAAATGATGTAATAACTTTGGGCAAAACATACTACAAACTTACTCCGTCACCAGGATTTTTGTTCTGATGAAAGGAGGAGGAGGAGGGAGTGGCATATATGTCATTTGGAGCTCCTGAATGAAAAGCAGAACATAAAGTTGATAAATAAACCAAGAATAGGAATTTGAGTTTAATAATGAGCTCACAGTATAATATATTGTATGTGTGTACACTCAATGCCATAAAATACTATGCTGGCCTTGGCTATGAGTTTGCTTTTCATTATCATTAGATGGAGTAGAAAAAAATTAAATGTCACTTTTTCGCTTGATTAGAACATGCTTCAAATAGTATATCCATGTGAAGCTTGATTAACCTTAACTGTTCTTACCAAGGTAATTTCTTGCCAGAACTATTCTAGTAGTGATTTGTTGTAGCTCTTCCAACACTTAAAGTACACGACTTCAAATATGCACTTTCTCAAACTAATAAATGACTACTAGATTTAATTCTGAACTTTCTTTTCATTCTTTTATAGCCTCAGAAAGGTAAGCCAACTCCAAGCCCTGTAGACTTTACTATTACTCCTGAAACACTACAGAATGTGAAAGAGGTAAGTTTGATATAGTGTTTAAAGGCAACAAACTAGACACTATGAGTTCTGATTCTACCCTAATCACTAAGGCAGCTGGGTGGTATTAGTCCAGTGACTTTTTCTCAGCCCTAGGAAAGAGCTAGTGACAAACTATTTCCAAAAACCATCCCAAGAAAACTGCTGGGACTTGTCTAAACAATTGCAAAGAATCCATACATACATACTAGCAGAAAAAGAAAAAAAAAGGTTTAAAAAAAGCCTCCAGTACAGTGGAAAAGGGCCAAACTGGACACTGAAACCATATGAAATAATTTTGTGTTCACGTGCTTCTTTATTTGCATGCTCCAATTTTCTTCTATTTTTGATTTCGTGGCAAAGCGTAACCTACCATTGTATCTGAGCTGGGAAAACCAGGATTGTATAGAAATAGCTGGAAGAAGGGATAGGAACATATGGAGTGAGTGAGGAAAGAAAATATTTTATTAAAGGATGTAACTGAAGAAATTCCTTCTGTTTAGTTTTCCAAATGTTTGTGTCTCTGTGTGAGGTGGGGAGGAGAAAGTGAGGGAGATAAGAGAGAAATAGGGGGAAAAAAATCAGTCGTGCAAATTAGGTTTGAGAGAGCCTGCACTTTATAAAAGCCATCACTGCTTGGGAGAAAATCCCAAAGGAGCTGCTTTTTAAAGAATTCCTGGCAACTTGAAATGGATCTTGCCTTTGGGAACCAGCCCTTTACTCATATCCTTTATATGTCGTTGAGACTTCTGGAGGAGATATTGGGAGGTTTTTTCTTCATTTGTAGTGAGGACTGTGACCCTTTCTTTATATAAGGCTTATATAGGTGATTATGAATATGATATATAACATATGTATATTATATATATATGGCACTCCCCAAGGCACTCCAATATATATATATATATTAAAGTTAAATTAACTATGTCTACAGATTTAATGTCTGAGGAGTTAACTGCATGTTACATTAATTGCATGTTACATATTTAGAAAAGCACTTGTTGCGTACATATATTTCACTTCTCTTTTGAAGAAGATATTGAACGGGATAAGGAGAGGTGATGAAAGAGTAAATGTAATTTCTTCTCTCTTCTGCTATGAACTAATAAGAGACAAAGAGCCATGCTATAAAATGAAAATATGTGAAAAGTACAAGAAAATGTGTACAATTGCCATATATTAATTATATCCATCTCTCTCTTTCTCCCTCCCTCCCTCCCTCTCCCCCCCCACCCACTGCTTTTAGAGAGCATTGCTTCCAAAATTTCTCATAAGAGGGCATCTCAATTCAACAAACTGCATCATAACACAACCTCTAACAGGGGAGCTGATAGTGGTGAACTCAGATGCTGCTGTTAAAAGCATTGAACTCCAGCTAGTACGAGTGGAAACCTGTGGTATGTCTTTATGTCTGCCAGTGCATAAATTGGTGTTGGAGAACAGAGCTGGAAGTGTGTTCTTGAATTGTGACTGTCAAATGCTTCTGTCATTCTGGATAGTTGGACAGATTAGAGGACAGTTGGGTCCTCATTCACATCCAAATATTTTCAATTGCGATAATGCTATATATTAGTAACAAACATTAGAGGAATTTATTTGGCAGTTACCAATCTCATATAAAAATAATTAAAACTTTAATGTATTTTTTATTAATTCCAAAGTGAAGCCATCTCCTGAAATTTGAAATGAATGTTCCAGATCTATGTAATACTAAATTAACTTTATTAATTTTAATACAGTTCATATTTGAAATTCCTCCTACAGCTCTGGAGTGATTTGGAACAGCTCCTCAGACATCCAACCTATATGAATGACTCAGAAACATCTTGATGATGAACGTTTAATTATTAAACCTGCCTGCATTAGAATGTATTATTTAGTAAGTTGGGGGCTCTGAATGCCATTTGTATCTTGTTTTTGCAAAGGCTGTGCTGAAGGTTATGCTAGAGATGCCACTGAGATTCAGAACATTCAGATTGCTGATGGTGACGTCTGCAGAAATCTTCCTATTCCAATCTATATGGTTTTTCCAAGATTGTTTACATGTCCCACACTAGAAACTACAAACTTCAAAGTCGGTAAGAACTGCATTTTAAACCGTTAAGCCATGCAAACAGGACTTTTGTCTAATGCTTTATTTCCATTGTGGTAACCCTGCACCTAGAACAAAAACATATTGGTAGGATATCAGTTGTACATACTTGTATCGTTTTTCCTTTCCTTTTCTCGAGATAAAAACTAGCTGTGATTTTGTTAATTTTTTTTTTAATAGAAGCGCTAGTCTAACCATTTGGTTGTATTATATCACCTTTCTTCACAGCCTCTCTGGAAGAATGGTGATCATAATTATAGTATAAAAGCATTTTCAAAAGTTGCTCCTCCACAAATTCTTTATAAAGGCTTGCATTTGTTTGATACATTTTGTATACCATTGAATTCAGTTCATCTCCTAACAGTTAACTATATCATATCCATAATATAAAACATGTACAGCAAGTAAAACAATAAACATCTATGGTTAAAACAATATAAAACGAACAATAATTAAATTACAGGATATCAGTACATAAAAAGGTTGTATGAACAACAATGTACAAATATAAATGTCTTCTCAGTCAGAAATATTCTACCGAAGAGTTCAGTTTTGAAGCAACTTCCAAAATGAAATCAAAATGAACTTTGATCTCTGTAAGAAAACTGTTCAAAAGCTGATTCTGCTATAGAAAAGCAGTGCTTTCAAACTCCAATAGTTAGGCTGTTATAATTATTAACGTGAAGTTTTACAGTAGAATGTTTTACCCCCTTTTCTCAGCTTGAGTTTAGTTTAAGCAAAAGGAAAGCTTGGATTGCTAGGTATATTTTAAAATTATATTTTTGAACAGTACTGATTATTTTAAATGTATACTGCTTTGTTTTGCTATACTAGTAATTTTATTTATACGTAGTATAGGTACCCAGATAGTAGACTTAATAATCTCTGCTAATTTCAGAATATTTTTTCTTTTTTTCACAGAATTTGAAGTTAACATCGTTGTCCTCTTGCATGATGATCACTTAATCACAGAGAACTTTCCACTGAAACTTTGCAGAATGTGATTAGGTTTGCTTTACAATTATTGCTCAGACTAGATGCCTCCCATTGGTTGGGCATCAAACTGATTGGCATTGCAGGCACTAAGTAATACAGCCCTATAAATAATTGGCAAGAATTTTAAGTTACAACAACGTTCTGACCCAATAAGTCAGTGTCCAATAAGCACTCAATCACATTTGTCTGTAATGCTGTTGCAATTTAAGTGTTAATGTAAGTTGAAATGGGGCCTACATCTGTCTATTCTTATTCATTTATAAGAGTTCTGTAAGACATTTAGACATTGAGAGGAAGAGTTGCTTATAGCAACATGTTGTTTTGAACAATATTTGGTATATATTTCTTAGCCTACCATACTAAACAAATTCTACCTTAAATTTGGAAACATTTGTATGTCCCATGAATCATGAGAGATGGGATGTCCCTACAGTCATGAGAGATTGGAAATGCATTTATCAAGATATTTGACTGACATGCTAAAACTATTCAAGTTGAATTTAGACTTTCCTGTTACCTCTGCTACATCTACATTTTTGTATTAATTTCTTTTGGGGAATATCTTACCCTTAATTGGTAAAAATTAAGTCTGGTCTGACCTTAACCAATTGGAGAATTAGTCATAAGGAGCCGAGATGATTCAATGCTGGCATCTTGTTACCAGATTGATGTTACGACAGGAAAATAATTTGGGGCGCCTTAGAGGAAAGAGTGGCAGAGGACGTAGAGATAGAGAAGGTAAAATTATTGTACTTTGCCTACCATTGGAAAATGTTGGACGATGTATTGAATACATTTCACTTTTGATGTAGCATCAGCTTGCTAATACAATAGAAAGTAACCTTTACCTAACACCTGATATATCTGATTGTTGATGTGAATAAATCATTCATATATTCTAAATGTTGTTCGCCCAGTGAATACAATTAACTGTGATTTGCATAAAATAGCCGAGCACATTTTTTTTTCTTTGCACATTTTAATTTAAGTCATTTTAACTTAACTGAGCCCATTTTGCTGGGCTTGCTGGTGCCCAGGCTTGATATGTGTGTATGTGATTGTGCTTTGCTATTTGATTTTGCAAACCCAGCTAATGTGGTCTATTAATATAAAGTAAGCCTTTTGGTTTCAGACACTGAAAGCATGTGCAACCAAACTATCATCAGTGAAGCTGATCATATGAACAAGCAAAAACAGACTAAAAAAGCATTATTAGCTTATTAAAGGTCCCACAAAAAATGAGGAGAAAAAGAACTACAAGTAGACCTTGACTTATTTTTTTTTTTAGTGATTATTTGAAGTTATAACAGCACTGAAAAAAGTGACTTGTGGACATTTTTCACACAACTGTTGAAGCATCCCATGGTCACATGCTCAAAATTCAAGGCACTTTTTTTTGGTATCTATGAGTGGTATCTTTCAATGTCTTGAGTCATGTGATCCTTTTGCAACCTTCTGACAAGCAAAGTTAATGGGAAGTCAGGTTCACTTAAATGTGTTAACTAGTTTTAAACTGGAGTGACAAGAAAGGTCGTAAAATGGGGCAAGTAACAACTTTAGGGTTGTGTTACCTCTTCTTGCACGCACACCTACCACATTAAACGACTTAAAATCAGAACGTATTGATTACATCCTAAACCATTTGGATTAGGATTATTTTCTAAAGAGGAAGTTAACTGAAAATCAAAAAGAATTGAGCTCCAAATGTACTGAGTAGCATTGCTCACTAATAACCAATTCAAGGTATAAGACAAAAGTCTTATAAACTAGCAAGTGAAACCAGACAAATCTGTACTATATAATTTTATTAATATGTTCTTTATTTAAAAAGACAATATCTATTAGATATGTTTTGTTAACTTTTTGAACTGCTCTACTGTGATATAGTGAAAATAACTAATACAGATATATAAATTACATATTTCTGCCAAAAGTGCAGACACAGATTAACAACATAGAATATATAATGTTGCACCATGTATCTTGACTCATTGGAAATGACGGAACTAGCATCAGGTATATATTTTTGTCAAGCTACAAAGGGATAATTTAATATACAATATTTGGAAATAACGAACAGAATTCATATATAATTTTATGATCATGATTTTAAAAAATCCGAATATTATTCTTGCTAATTTATATATTGCATTATTTTAATTTTTTTTGTTTCGTCCAGGAAGCTCAGGATAATCTTCTCGCAAAAGTATGTGACGTCGACATGTTGGACATGTACTGTGCTCCTTAATCCATGGCCCAATACACTGTATAAGACATAAAAAGATTGCACAAATACCTCATTTAAAACATAGGCTATGAAATATGGGAAGTATTCACTCTTAAAAAATAAAGTAAAAATGAACAAAATATCTTAAACCTCCAAAATTAATAGCTGTTGTAGCACCCCTACAATCCCATGGAAAAAAATGTGGGTGCTTGGCAGCCCAGAGGGGTGTCTTAACTCCACCCATCTCTACCTTTTTGCTGCCCTGGACAGCACCACTTCATGGCCAATGTTGGAACTGAAATAGATGCCCGAGGCCTTCAGCACTCTCAGCTGGTTGCCAACCACTCCAGCCTTTACTTTAGGCCTAGCACCACTGCCACCTCATGGCCCATGCGTTGGCCAGCCACACCAGCACCACAATGCCAAACCTCAGCTGTTCGCACTACCCTGCAGGCTCTGCATGTTGCTTTGCTGCCTTCTTCCCACTGTTGACAAAGAGGGCCTGTGCAAGGAAGCAGCTAACCACACCAGGCTTTCTTCCTGAGATAATTTGTACTATCCTCCAAATACTGTGCACTGTTCTCACAATGCTACAGGTTTCTGAGGCCTGAAATCTTGCAAGAAGGCTGCACCGCACCAGGCTTTCTTCCAAATCGCATATATCATTTTGGTAATACTTTTGAAATTATATTTTAAATTTCTGGCACCCACTACTAGCTGTTTCACAGTTGCAATTTCTTGGTTTAAACTTCTGAATTCTCACCCTGTTGGGCTGCTTTATCTACCACTTCCAAACAGACCGCTATTCCTCCTGGCTGATATGAAGGGGGGGGGGAGGCAATCCTTTCTTAAAGTGGCAGCGCTGAACGGGTTATTTTAAATTACTATCATCCAGTCTCAAACATCCCTATTTTAGGGAAGGTGAAGAGAATTACTGACAGGGCTCTGGAAGAAAAGAAAACCTCGTACTCCCTCGAGGAATGTCAAGGATTACTAGTTTAAGAATTGTATTCTGTAAGTTTCTGCAGGTGAGGCTTTCCCAAAAAATTTCTACTCCTGGGAATTGTGAGATCTCAAGAAAAGTGGAGGATATTGTATTCTAGAATCCTTGAAGATATGGTACAGAAAATTCCCATATTTAAGCATCTTTCTACTCTTACTTTTTGGTGCTGATATGTGAAACTCAACATGTCGACCTGCCTATCCTGAGGAAAAGCAATACTGTAGCTATCTAAAAGCACAACTGCAATAATGAAAACTGCTATGGAAGCATTGTATTTCCATATGATTATGGTCCTATCCATTTTTGAGATTGGAAAACTCATTTCCTAAGTAATGTAGATCCCATTAAATATAGTTTGAATTTGCAAGGAAAAGCTTATTTTTTATACTAGAGGTATCGGCTTGAGCACTGAACGGCTGGTCCTAGAAACTAAGATGATTTAGGCTTCCACATGTAATTTGTGTTTTTGCTCACTAAGAATAAATTCCCCAAGTATACATTGCAAAGATTATGATTATATTAAAAATTGATGCAACATAGCAGCAATTCTCTAGTCATTTATAAAGTCATAAGGAACAAATAAAACTCTGTGCTGATAATTCATTTACCAGTTTGTGAAATCTGTGTCCACAATCCAGAACATGCAACAGACTTGAAGTTAGCTCTTCATGACATATTACACATGGATCATTATCCTATAGAAAAATGCATTTGTTATTTCAAAATTACTTCAAAAATTGATTCACTGTGCATTAAAATAAAACAAATACAGGCTTTCAAAAAAAATTCCAAAAAGCAATGGCCATATCTAATATTTTGCATGCATAAAAATCTCTCTGATCTGCTGTTAAAATGGCAGATTTAAGTCGGTGTGTGATATCCTGAAAGCAGATGATTCGGAAAGTATTGAACCAAATGGGCTGTTTGACTCAAAATATCCCTTTTAAACAGAAATTTAGTTTAGCAGCATCAAAATACAATGTGTCATTCTCATCCATGAGGCTTTGCAAAATTTGTTTACTTAATTCTAGAATAAACATAATTCAGTATATTCAGTGTCAATAGATTAGAAAAAATATTGCATCCAGAGTTCCACACATGAATTCTGCTCATGGAACAGCATAGGAAAAGACATGGGTTCAGGGATTCAATGAGGACTACACCCTTCACAATTATATGTCCTCCCCCGCCCCCCCAATTCATAGAAAATTATCTTTCATGCAACCTATTTTTTCTAATAACTATTTCATTAGTGAAAAAATAGTACCATAATATTGTTCAGGAGTTATTAAATTTGTATGATGACCAAGGTGGAATAAAATGTGTCATTACTTTGGAATTGCAATGCTCCCACAAGAGACCCAAGTCCAGCCCCCCTTGAATTCCACCTACTCTTGTCTAGTGCCAATTTGCCTTGACCATTAGATAATCGTATTCTTGTGTATGGATAGTATGTAAAAAAAAATGAAGTGCTTTGAACTAAACTCCCGTTCCTACTTATTTCCACCTGACAAAACCTTTGAGGACATTTCAATTCCAGTCTTTAATAAGATTTTGGAACCTCCCATGCCATATTGATTATGGATACTGTTCATTTTTCTTCAACTCTGAAAAAACCCTGAATTTTCAAAATTGATTAATTTGCCCTATTCTCTGATTTGTATGATGTTAGACACTGCCTACATTTTGAAAACTATTCTAAGATCTTGAAAACTAAAAAGCCTATGTTTAAAATTTTTTAAAGGGCTTTGGAAAGAATATATATGATATTTCTAAAATAATACCAAATTATCAAACTGATTTATTAAAACTATAATTTTTATAGAAAACCTACAATAGCATCATTCGATTTTTTCCACTTTGATTTTGAAGTTTCACCAATATTTTTCCATGGCATCTGATTTGATTGAGGTGGAAGTCTAGTTTTAGTTTTCTTTTCGTTAGCAGTTTTAGACTTTGCTTTGCTTTGTACCAATGTGTTTAATACTTTTTGAGTACGACTTCCATTTTCTCCTGAAGTACAAGAGGATAAATTTTCATTTTTTCTGGAAGAGGAAAGAACCTTTAAAAACATAATGGAAAAGTATTAGTAATACCTTTTTAATTTATACTTTATTTTTGCACTATTTAGGTAAGTTGACAAATATATGAATTAAAAATAAATGATTATCTGAATCAAGAACAAAAAGCAAAAAACCAAAACAAAACCCAGAACATATCAGAAATAAGCATTCCAAAATAGTAGCAAGACAAATCTTAGTCTCTAAGCAGAAACAAAAATCCCTTTGCTAATGTATATTGAATACCAAATAAAAATGAAGCAAAATGAAAAATCTATACAGGTAGTCCTCAAGATACAACAGTTTATTTAGTAACTTACAGTGGAATTGAAGAAAGTGCCTTTATGACCATTTTTTTACACTTATGACTGTTGCAGCATCCCCATGGTCACGTCATCAAAATTCAGATGCTTGGGAACTGACTCATATTTATGACAATTGTAAAACTTGGGGTCGTGTGATCACCTTCTGTGACCTTCTGACAAGCAAAGTTAGTGGAGAAGCAGGATTCAGTGCTTCACTTAACAACTATGGCAAGAAAAGTTGTAAAGTGGGGCAAAACTCACAAATGTTTCACTTAACAACAGAGATGTTGGGTACAATTGTGG